TAATAATAATCAATTCTACAAATATCAACTTTCAACAAATAAAAATTTACCTTCTTCTTTCACTTATGATGTTCATAATGATGTTTATGCTACCACGCCATTCTCTTATGATGTTGAAGATTTGTTAACTGTCAAAAAGAAAGCATACAGACATATTGATTCTAAACCATATCAAGCATGGAATTTTCATAATAGTGTTCCTATTAAAGTAAATAATTAAAAAAGATTTTTTTGTTTATTAACAAATCTGAATAATAATAATGATAATTGTTTGTTTGCTTTATTTTAAAGGACGATTTTTACTTGAATGTTCTTGACTGGTCTACTTTTGACGTGCTAGGATTTGGTTTAGATTCGATGGTTCATCTTTGGAATTGTGGCGCAAAACGGGTAAAGTTTTTATTTCCATATGCTTGATAAATATATGTTAAAGTTTAAGATATAATATAATATGTTTAGCATGTATCTTTTTAAACAATTAATTAGTTGATGCAATTACAAACATTAAACATAGAGTCTACAGTTACGTCTGTCAAATGGTCAAAGATGGTAAATATCAAGAAGAGAGTGATCTTCAAAAAATATACATGGAATTAATATAGAATCCTTTTTACACTAATCAATTAATTATTATTTTTAGAATATGAACCTTGCAGTGGGTACATTAAATGGAAGGGTACAAATTTGGGATTTAAAAACACTCACGAAAATTCGTGACATGAATGGACATATGAAACGAGTTGGTAATGTCAAAAAAAAAATTTTTTTTGTTGAACAACACAACACTAATTAATTAAGGACTTATGCTTAGGCACTCTTTCATGGAATAATAATATAATTACGTCAGGAAGTGGGGATAAATTTATTATGCATAAAGACATAAGATGTCAACAAGATTATGTTCAAATATTTCCAGGGCATGCCTCTGAAGTATTTATTATTAGTAAAATATTGCCATATTTTTTAATTTTAATTTTTATTATGCTGATTTTAATAGATTTGTGGATTAGAATGGAGTATTGAAGGAAACGTAAAGCCTTAAAATTTGCATTTTGTCAACTTTATTAAGTGTTTTATATGATAAAATTATGGGGTGGTCGGATACTTTTTTAAACCCTTTTCATAAACTAATTTATGCTGACACCATATTGTAAATATATGTAATCTGTTACGTTAAACACGTTTTATTAAGGTAATAATATACATTACAACAAAAAAATTTGACCTTTTATTACATGTAAAAATTCAATCGGAAATTTTCTTTTTTGGATGATTTGTTAAATATTTCCATTAATACCATACCGAACTGTTTGAAATTTTCGTAATATAGAGTTTTGATATCAAATATGAGTTTACTTAGTATAGCAGAAAAGGTTTTATTTAAGAAAACGTACTTTATTTAGCAAGTACTTTTTTCATTTGACATTACACAGCACAAGTGGTCGGATATTTTTTGTAGGGGAGTGTACATGATTTAGACTTGAGGTTGAAATGGTTAAAATTGATTTTGGCCATTTCGACTTTGACCCCCAAAGGTTGAAAGATCAAAATAATGTTATATCACATGATTTATTATAATTAATAATTTCAAAATTATTTATCTCAAGACCAGTGATCCAAATGTAATGAAACACGACTCATTAGAATAGTCTTATAAAAATGATTTGAATAATGGTGATATGTTCATAGCATCAATAAATGGCAAGTCATTGTAATATATATGCTAAACCAAAATATTTCAATAATAAGTGATTCAGATTTTATGAATTACATCTTATTGGACTCACCTCATTGCATAAACAATTTAAACTGAATCCCTTTATATCCAATTCACAAAGCAGGAAACATGATTGTGATCTTGAAGAGGAGGAAAATACTGAAGAAGAATATAACACAGATCAAACCATCATTGGAGGGAGAATGTTTCTTTGGATTGTTAATGGTCTCAAAAATTAACAGGATATCAATTGGAAAGAAAACTGACAAAACAAGACCTGAATATTATGATGTAATTTTTTTCAATGTTAAAGGTAAAAATGATTTTCTAGAGACACTAGAAAAAAATACAACTTAACAAATACTTAAAGATATAAGTGAGGAAGATATGCAAAATGGTATGAGATCAAATTGTTATTAAATGGAATGATTGTATGTGATATTAACATGACTAAAAATAAATTTCAATGATATAAAATTCACAACAATTCCTTCAAGAAATTGAATTTTGTAAATCACATTGCTTACAATCAAACTATATACCATGTGGAAATTCTTTAGAAACGGATCTTTCCCAAAAAGGTAATCTCATATGATCTTCATAGTTAATCAGAACATTATAAAAAAGTTTTTTTAACAAATTTATTATAATATAATGAATGATAATAAATATTTACAAAAAATTAAAAAATAAAATAAAAAATAAAAATTTTTAATTAATCAATTAATAATGATTATATTATTATTATTTATTTATCTAATTAATTAAAAGAAAAATTGCCACCACAGCCAAATCACAATTACAATCAATTATGAAAGATTTGAATTTTACGCACAAATTTTTTTTTTTAAATTAATTTTTTTTTATCCAAATATTATTATATTTATGTTTAAAAAAATTTTTTAAAATCATTAATTATATAATCTATCATCTTCTTATCTTAATTAATTCTCCAGTTTGCGTGTGGAACGTGTGAAAGTAATAATGGCGAATATGATTGTTGTAGATGTCCAGTCTGTGGATTTATTTGATTATGTTGTTGTTGTGGTTGTGGTTGTTGTTGTGGTGGTGGTTGTGGTTGTGGTTGTTGAGGTATAGATACACTAACAGGAACACCATTTGTCATATGTAATCTTTGAATTTTTGGAATCCACTGGACCGGTGATGGCCGTCTACCATAAGCATCAGAGTGATTCATCGTCACACCAGCAGATCCCAATGAAATGCCATTTTGTGCTATAGTTCGAGCATCACCATTCAAACGTGCTGCGCGAAGATCAATGTTCATACGTGGATCACGACCAACAACATTTGTTGACAAATTATTGCTACCAATGATAATACTACCATTACTACTACCATTATTATTGTTATTATTATTATTATTATTATTATTATTACTATTATTATTATTATTATTATTGTTATTATTTGGATTGTGATTATTAGGATTATTATTACTATTAAGGTTATTATTAATGTTGTTATTATTATTTATATTATTACTATTGTTGTGGTTATGGTTATGATGGTGGTGATGATGATGATGGATTGAACTATCTTCATTAGAAGTACGTATGAATTTTTGTGCAATTTGTTTATCCTTTAAAAATTTTTTTGTAGCACTAAGATTAAAGAAATCTTCATCTTTTAGCCAATTCCATCGGTTTATACTTATAACATATAAATAAATATATAATGTGTGTAAAAGAAGTAATAAAATTAATAAGTTCAGCTTTTTTGACAAAATTTTTTTTTACTTTATAAACAAAAGCCATTAAATTATTAATCATACCTTTCCGTCACATCATCCATTTCATTTCCAAATGGCTCCTCTTCACTGAAAATTTCATCCATTTCATCCATATCATAAGCAAACTTTGATGATATTGGTGTTTTTTCTGATGTTGATGATGGATTAAGCAATTTATTATAGGAAGAAAAATCCAAGCGATCAAAAACATGGTAATTTCGACCCCCACGCCCAACCCGATTTCTAAAAGCTGAAGAAACAACATTTTTAGAACGATACGGCGACTTTGTATCGTTCAATGTCCTAAACAGGCTCGATGCAGCTGATTTTCGTATGGGTAAATATGGATACTTTTTTAAAATAAAAATAAAATAAAAAAATTGAATATTTACAGGTGCGGAGATAAATAAAATAATACAATAAAAATTGAAATTGTCAAAGAATTCAGAATAGAGTAGTGCATACATCTGTTATATCAGTGCGTTGATAATCTTCTTTATATATTTTGTTTCCTATTTTTGATCGTGATATGCTAAAAATTTTATAATTTTTATTAATATAAAATAATAGTAATAATAATAGTAATAATAATAGCAATAACTAATATCCAATGTGTTCATACCTGGATGAATCGATATTTGTAGTTGATGATTTTCGACTCTTCTATTTAATCATAAAGATTATTGAATAATAGATAAACAAGATTAAAAAAAAATTATTATTATTTAATTTTCTATTTAATTGATTAATTACCCTTATAACGTCAGTAGTTTCACTTTTGATGCCCAATTTCTTTCTCATCGCTCTTACAGAACATTCCTTTTCAAAAATCTTACGTTCAAGGTCAACCTTTTGTTTCTTTGTTTTCTCTCTAAACTTTACATTCAAAATTATGACTCTGCCGTGGTTTATATCACGCCTTATCATCCTTAATTTATCGAAAGATGCATTTTCACTACGGCGAGTTTTCCTTATTGGTTTAAGTTCACGACGGCGGAAACATGTCCAAGGATGTTCTTCCTCTTCTTTACCCTCTTGTGTCTAATAGATAAATAACATACATATATATATTAAAATTTATTTTTGTCTCGCTGAAAAAAAAAAAAATAAATTAACTAATTAAAAAAGTAAAGGAAATACCTTAATCTTAAACATTAATGGACCAGGTTTTCTATAACGCATCATTCGTGCATTACGTTTATTTTTCCAATATAGATAAACCACTTGAGCGACATCTTTGAAAGCCAGCAGTTTTTCTGGTAAACATTCTTCGCAATCTTCCCAAGTAGGTAGTTGTTTTTTTGTCTAATAAAATATATTAATTGATACATTAGACGAAAAGATAATAATTAACACAACTTCCAAATAAATACTAGTGATAAATGATCACATACCAATAATTGAATTTTATTATTTGCTATATCTTCAAAATGTTGCATTATTTCTTCAAATGTGTCCTCGGATAAAGAATCATCATGCTTTTCATTATATTCATTAAACCAAGCATCATCTTGTTCGTCCATACAATAAAAGCACCCTATACATTCTTCTATAGGCAATGAAAATCGGATATATGTTGAAGGTTTTGACCATTTGTGATTCTTGTATAATTCGGAATAATAGGATATTCGTTTATTGGATGAAGGTACCGGAATAGCACCAGAACTTGTTGGTAAGTTGCCTCGGTCAATTTCGGAAGCACGTTCTGCTAACGCTTTTATTAAGTGTATTTCCTACATTAGCAAAATATTAAAATAAAATAAATGATTTGCAATTAAAATTTCCCGAAAGATTATTAATATTGATTGAAGACTGTTTGTTGAATGAGCCATGTGATGACATAATCGGCAAAAATTACCGCAGCAAAAATAAGTAAAAAAAATAAAGGTAATTCTTATATAATGTGTATATATATTATTCACAAGTTTTTTTAAATTGGTTCGCTAAATGTAAAGGACAATTTTACATATTTATATTTTATAGAATTGTTAATTTTCCCAACATACCTCCTCCTCTTCCTTTTCTACCCCTGTCTCTATTTCTAACCCTGCTCTACTTATAGGTATTAAATCTTCTTCATTTATTTCACCAGGTGTATAAATTCGAAGAGTTTTTTTAGTGTCAATCTTACGGTTACGAAATGACTTGCGGTTGATAGTACTGTTTGGATGAAACGTCATGTTATAGGAGTGTGGCGCAGCGGCAGGATGAGGGAATTTAAGAGAAGCCGAGGTTGTTGTTTTAACTTTGTTTTATGGTTAAGTATATAGTTTATAACGTAAATATTACTAATATTATAATATTTTTTTATAAATTTTTGTATAAAAGTATTAATAATAAATTTTTGAAGAGCTTTATTTTTTTTTAATTTTTAATTTTTTTTTGTATTATTATTCTTTTTTTTTTTTACTTCGGCTGATAATATAGCCTATGAAAATTTATTAATAATAAATAATGGTAATTATTTTTGTTTCTCCCTTGGTTTTTTTTTACTTGGTAGAATTTTGTTTGTCGTTGGTTGGGGCAAGATAAACCAAGAAAAAAGGGTAATGTTTGAAGCACCCTAAATTGTGATGAGTCATAAAAAAAAATTTTTTAAAATAAAAAATAAAATAAAATAAAATAAAATCATTACTAACAATTTAATAAAGTTGTAATTACCGTATTAGTATTATTATTATTAAATAATGCCACGTGATATCTATTATCTATTTATTTCGGGTTGCTTTTTTTTTGTACAATGCAAAAAAAATTTTTTTTTTGTATTCTATGATTAACATATGGCGATCTTTTTTTTAAAGATGTTTGCTGCGCGATTTGTTAGTAATCTTTTTCTTGTTTAATATTAATCTACATTGAAATTTTTAAATCCTTGGAAACTGGTAAAACAATCTTCGAGCTTTTACAAAGAAAATGATGAATCATCTATTATAATATTTCCAACCTAGATTTAACATCAAAATACTGCTACCTTCATAACGAGCAACCAAGAAATAAATGTATATTTGAATATTATTTGGGTACGTCAATCTTAAGATATAACATTTGTGCAGGAATCTCGCTCATTCAATTCTACCATTTGATTACCAAGTCATTGATGTAAGTTAGTGTACATCATATGAATTAATCTTATTGATCGTTTGATTAACCTCCAAGCTAATTTTGATATTGAGTTTCTCGAACAGATTATTGTTTGGTAATAGTAAACTAGATCTTTCATGATTTGATTTTGAAAAAAATTTTGTTACAAAAAAAGTAAAAAGAAAATGATGAATCATGAGAAATTTATTGGTTTTTAAGTTACCCTCAAAATAGTATGTCTAGACTTTGAGCCCCATAATTTTCTTGTAAGTCCTATTTTTAATTATTAGGGAGAAACAACAAATAAAAGTTAATTCACACAAAAATAAATTTGTGATAAAGGAATTGAATTGAGTGTAACGAATAATTTGAAATGTGTATCAAATCATTTGCACAAACATAAACATGACAATGTTAAAATGTTTACCTCGTAAAATTTTTGGTGGGCGAAAGAATTTTATGGAAGAGCTTCTAAACCAATTTTCAAGAAATAGGGTTAGGTGTTTATCGTATATTAACATTAATATAGATAGCATTCCCAAATTCAATTTTTTGTATACATGAATAACAAATTTGTAGCAGTTGTATGACATTTTGGTGATTTGGTGTGAATGAATATTGTAAGGTGAATATTATGAACGATATTAAGAAGATTGAGAAAGATGGATGTCAATAAAAAATTATTATTTCTTGAATCCATTTTGTGAATATATATATATACTATATACTATATACACAAAGGTAAGATTTAACCATACAAATCAAAATAGACCTTCTTTACCAACAAACGCTTAATCCTGATGCAATTACCAAAGGCAAATTCGTAGTTAATAAATATAATATAAAAGCATTGATTTGTTATATTGTATATACACATATATATTTAAATAAGACAAAATAATCACCAGACCAATACTTTTCAGTAATAAAATTCTATCCTTTCCCTTTCAATACGTTTGAAACAGCAGTATAGATAGTGAA